GAGGTTTTACAATATATTACAAACACACCTATTAACTGATTTACTACACAATTGCTTTTCGATATAATCAATTTTTGAATATTCCTGGAATTACAGAAACTCATTATTTCAATTAACACACTTTATTTAAATTTATTATATTCCTGATGCTTATGAGGAAGGATTAAAATATTCTTTTAAGAAGTAACTTTTGTAATAACATTGGATGACTACAAGGAATTATCGTTATCAAGAATATATATACTATGCAACCATAAACTGGGAAAGAGATCACGTTTATTTAGAAAACTCAGGAATGGGCATAGATTACCAAGAATTTTGAAGATTTTGGGGTAGTTTTTTTTACAACTTAGTATCCGATGGAGATTGACAAAATTTCATGAGAAACAGATACTTGTTCCGCCTATTATAGTTTATAATCCTCCCAGGTATGTACGTACTCAAATATTTCTAAGACCAAGTTTAACACTTCTGAATTTGAGGTAAGACAACTATAGTTTAGCCACTTAATAATTAGTGAACCCAATAAATTACAATTTCTGGTTTTTTAATAAATTCCAACTCCAATAAAAGTTATTTGAACTAAACTTTTTTATAAATCTGCTCTGGAAACTGATTAAGCGATTGTCAGTTCGTGAAAACATTTAAATCAGTAAAACTCCAGTGGTGACTTTTGAAGTATAAATTACTTCTATCCTTTAAAAGTAATCTCAATAACTGTATTTCCAACTTTTGACTGACAAAACCATCAAAAGCTGTCAACCATCAATAATTAGTAATAAATAATGATGCAATTATTAAATAAAACTTAAAAAAGATAATCGGTATACATAATCTGAGCAGTGAGTTTACTACCTATGATCATGGCCATCGTAAAAACTGGTGATTAGAAGTCATTCTTCTCTACTTGACTTGTTCTGTATTCTCTTTCAGATCCCTAAAGTATTTTCAAGATGTCCATAAGGAAAGGATTTATAAATAACTGGTAAATGAAGTTTCATTTAGTATATAACGGTCCACGTTATTCCATTTGTCAATGACACAGAAAGTTAAAAAATCAATATAATTCGGAAAAGTACAACCGAGTAGTATAAGGACGGGTTTATCAGGGACTTATTTGTTTGTAAAATATATTTGAAATGTAAAAGAAAGACAGTTAGAGGTTACGAAAACATTGCAACTGGAAGAATAATAAAAGCTTTAATCCATGGATGATACATCGAAAGGGCCTCCAATCTCGATTTGGTCAAGTCCTAAATTAAAAAACAAATATACAGCACGTTCATCACTGCATTTAGTTCTTAGCTATAAACCGTGTCTTTAAAACCCCACACATGGAAACCAGAACTACAGATTATAACCAAACACAATCCTAGCCAAACAGACCCAGTTTCAACACAGTAGTTATTATAAAAGCCACCGAGATAACATTCGCTACGGCATTAAAATACGAATATCGTAATTCCAAGACCGATTAACTTGACGAAATGCGAGTTGTGTGATGACTAAACAGAATTGCCTATATAATGGCGTCGCGAGAACAAACAGACCTGAAGTCAAGCGAGCATGCGATTGTTACATACCCACAGCTCAGGTGACAGATTTCAAAAGGCGTGAAAGAGAGCCGCATTTACGGAAGCGTGGATATATTTTGGAAGTAGACTAACATTACGATGTTTCAAGTGACACAGATTGACTTTCGCTGTAAGAAACCACATCCAACACAGTTCTCCAAACTCTTAAGTTTACATCCACGAATATTTCGACTTCGGATAACTATCACTAGACAGATGGTCTCAGATACGTGTTGAGAAAGTAAGTCATAATGAGAAATGCCACATTTACAAAATGATTGTCAGTAGGTATGTCAGTTCCGGATTTAAATAGGTTACGACCTGTGTAGAAAAACAGAACGATTTATACAAGACCGGAGATCATTAAGTTATTGACGATAGTAAACTTAAATGCAACATCAGGATAAATTACGGGACTAATTTTTGGTCTTATGATAGCCTTCAGTAGTGCTAACGATGATCGTAGGTTTTACTCAATCTTTATTATGATACTTCATATCATGTCCAAAGCACATGGTACTGCCTGAAAATCAAAACTTCGAAAGAGGGGGGGGGCAGATACTAACCCGAATGCTTAGTCCATAAGTCAATGGAACAATGTTTTATTGTAAAAACAGGTTTGTAATCGTAAGATTCCTACCACCAGTTCGAAATCAGAACCCATAACTATTCTGAACCAAACGTTGTCATATAAGTAGTTTGTGCATGACCGGCGATACATAATCGATCGCACAAGTATTTAGTACGACAGTCAAGAATTGACATACCACTGACATCAGATTGTTTTTGCAACCAATAGTTCGCCAAGCCTCGAATAAATTCAACATGGTACGTCAGACAGCTATGGTACTTCTGTATATGTAATAAAAAGCACGATCTGCTAAATCATTTCCTAAATAATGTTCGCTTAGCACACCAATTCATGATGCAAGGGCTGAAGTCGACATGGTTTCATTATGCGAGAGAAATAAGTCACAAATATTGTTAAGTATAATGAACACACAAGAGCGAGTCACAGTTGAAATTATTTCTTTTAAGTCGATTGTAACCTTGTGACAGGGGCACAACAGACGAGTCTGATATTGTTCCCGTAGCTTTCATTTATTGTTATTACCATGCAAATGAGATCGAAAAATTCTTCGAAGTTGATGGCTTACCTTCAAAGCGATTATCATTTTGACGCAAACCACCCCATTAACTTAAAATAATGGTTGAATATTATTTTATACATCCATTACATATTAAATGTTCAGACTTCTACAACTTTCGATCAAACTATGGATCGGCAGGTGATCATAATTTTATCAATTTAACCTGTTTTAAAAAACTAATATTCGAAAAACTGTTTAACTTGCTCCTATCCATTTCCAGAGTATGTTTGACAATGTTAAATGTGTGCCTATGCATGTTTAGTTGATAATATATCCAAATTCCTTCATTTTGGTAATGAACAGGTGATACGATGAGTGCATGAATGGGAAATATCTCATCTATAAAAGGTGCTAAGAATATCTTAAATACCACCTAACCAAACGAACTATTGCTGTAAATGCCACCTTATCTTTACGTTATTTTTACGAAAGAATGCTAAACACCAACGATAAAGTTGAAAAATATAATGCAGTGTTCTTTAAAGTTCACGAATAAATATGGACACTTTACCAGTGTTGGTTACTTTTGAATAAATGACAACCAACATTTCAACATGTAAATCAATTGCAGTCATCCAGAACATAAAGTTAACCTAAACCACCTGTTAGACATAAATATACATACATGGAGTCAATAGACTGATATCTCTTATGTAGGGACATAGCGGCTGGGGCAAACCAACAGTTGAGATTAGTTCACCATCGGGCGTCCAGCTGTGCCGCGTGTTTTTGGTTCGCGAAATAATAGTAGCTTACGGTTAGAGCCCCCAGGGGTCTCGACTCATAATCCTTCTCTCCTGAAAGCCAAAACAGTGTTATATCACATCACTCCCAGCGCGAGTCCGTTACTTTCGAATCATATTTTAATGTTCAGTTCATAAATGTCACCGTTGTTACTCCCTCACTTTCATCTTGTGAACTAATGCTCGCTGCGTTGTGAACTGTGGCAACCCGAGCCGATTATTATTTATATTAGACCCTGCACTGATGATGACTTACAACGTGAGAAGCCCTATATCAAGCTAGAAAACAAAATCTAATTACGAAAGACTCAGTAATGGATAACCAATGCAGAAGACTTTATAAAATTCGCTTAATAAAAACCAATCTGTAGAAATGTACACAAAGAAGTTGGCTGGTTTGTCTTTGGCTAAGAAATACAAAGTGATTACCAGATGAAGTTATTACTCTCGTAATGTTACTTAGCACTCAATAAGCAAAGGAGCCTGATTGAATATCCCTAAATACTATACTGCGCCCGAAATTAGTTAAGAAATCCTTGGAAATCGATGAGATAGAAATCAGTAGACCCCAAGAAATACTAGTTTTGGTCAAAATACAAACCAAATTTAAGTAGGAAACCTCCGACAGTAACAGATTTGGTCGGAACTCGCTTAGAACAATTAAGTTCTTTAGACAGGCAAAGCCGAACATATTGGGGTAAGAACAGAGATGCTAATTCCGTTTGTCCTTTCGAATCCAGGTGCTTTATGTTGTGATCCTAGTACTTCTCAGTAGAACTACCATAATATAAGTTGCTTATTATCTCAAGTGGACATCGCATGCCTTATTGTACGGGTCTCGGTGTACCTTATATCTCTAGATCTACTTTACATTTCGTACTTCGAAAAACTTCCTAATAAGTGACACCTATTTATATCTGACTTGAAATAATGAATTTAATTTGAGAGCAATTTTAAGATCACCATCGAGACCCTTAAGTTTAAGCTCCATACATTGGACTGAAATTGTGACTTTGCATGAGCTCGGACTTTGAAAGAAATGCTTTGAGAACTACCAGTGAAAGGATACTGAATATTTCTTTAAAAAAAAACTTGACTTAGGTCGATCTATGACAACCTTACAATTGTGGCTCGAATAGTAATGACGACTTTAACATCCAATGGTTCTGGGTATACACAAGCAGTGTGGACTAATCAGTGAACTACGCAATACTACACAAGCAGTTCAGTCGGCTTTATTCAAAAAGCACTCTGAACGTCGACCTGACTTGTGGAGGAATCATGAGCAGATTTTACCTTCCAAAATAAGACTTGAGAAACTACGATATTGTCGCAACTAATTATCGTTACCGCTTTATTTATTGGTATAATTCGGACAACTAAAGTCAGGCCGCGGATACTTCAGAAACATTCACAAACATATGAGTGCGAACGCCACCGAAACTACACACGAGGTTACCGAAATTGCCAGTGGTAGTTCGACTTACAATAGTGGCAACACTACTTCGAAGAGAGAAAAGAATGCTTTTTATCCCTCAAAAAGTATCTGTTATATTGTTCAAAAACTTTGAAACAAAATCCTTTCAGGTAGAAACAAAGAACTTTTATTCACCAATATCCCTAAACAAAACACAAATATCGTGTAGAAAACCATCGGATTCATCAGTTGCGTCGATTGATGCGAAAAATTGGTTGCACTCGTCTCGCGTTAAGCCAGATGGTAAGGAGTCCAGCTCACCGTCTACAAGTGGATGACGAAAGCATTTGATTAGTTATATCACGAAATGCTTTCAATTATTCTATTAGCAGCTAGACCTTTATACATAAATACTCTAAGATTACTTAACCGAAACGAAGTAACTGGAGGAGTTCGAGTTAAGGGAGGCTAAATTACGGTAGGGTTATTACCTCTCAGGTAACGGCACGCCGCGCACATGAAAGAAATACACTAGTATTTGATTCGACGACATGAATGCAGTACAAAGGCCTAATGATATAAGTACTACAGAGGTTGAATCGCACATCCAAACACAAACCTACATATCTGAAGACTAAAATTCCAAATGCTTAACCTAGTAAATCTTTATATCTACTTAGGAATTAGAGAACTAGTACGTGCCATCTAATTCTTGCTTAAGAACAGAATTAGTGCAACCCAAAATCGCTAGCTTCAAACCCACCTTGTTTGCTGACCATCTTTGAATTGATTGTAACCTCCTTGCTGCAACACAATCCAGTTCTCCATGGAGTCTTACGGGAACTTCTTCTCCGTATTGAGTATACAACTGGGGATCGATGTGACGAGTCGCAAATGTGCCATACCTTATCTTTTTCCAATAGCGACCTAACTAGCTTCTCAACATTAGCATCAAGCGGCTGGGAGTACAAGGCAATAGCAGAATAACTGATTTGTATATTTTACAGCAAGTGATAAAAAGTTGTCAAAATGCACTAGGCGTTTGGTATTGAAATAACAAAATTAACTTCAACGTTGTTGCCAACCATTGCCGGAATATGGAGCAGGACGGGGATACTGTGCAGTTGCAGGTGTTGCTCTCATCGGACCACCACCATAGCCTTGTTGCTGATAATTACCGAACCCATCAGATGCATTAGGCCAACCACCTGCAGGGCAACCTCCATCGTAACCGCCATAACCTGAGCGTAATGTTAGCAACAAATCTGGATACTTACCATAGCCTCCTCCGTTATAAGCATAAGGCTGTTGGTGTGCGTAAGGTTGATTATAGCCCTGATCCCATGACTGAGGCTGGAAACCGCCATTTGCATTGTCGTGCCAGCCACCGCCATTATAGTCTGCTCTCATAGGTGCAGGTTTGGACCTCATTTTATTCATTTCTTCTCGGCTGAGCGCTTTACGTACATCTGCTTTGGAGTCTTTGATAGTATGTGGTCGAGCTAGGATAACTTTGTCTACTGCATCTGTGTCATCAAAAGTAACGAACGCGAACCCCCGTGATGTATTCGTATCTTTAGCTATAACAATCTGAGCATCAGTTACAGTCCCGAATTGAGAAAAGTAATCACTTAGGTCTTCATTTGTCACATCTTTCTTCAAAGCACCTACAAATATTTTCTTCACTGCAGCATGAACCTCAGGGCTTGTTTCTTCTCTGGGCATGGCACGCTTGGTATCTACCTCTTTTCCATCTACAGTATGTGGGCGATTGTTTTGTGCAGCATCAACGGATGAGGAATCCTTATATGTCACAAAACCAAAACCTCGGGATTTCTGAGATCTAGGATCCTTCATAACTACAACGTCAATAATTTCACCCCATTGACCGTAATAATTTTTGAGTGAGTTTTCATCGGTCTTGGGACTTAAACCACCGATGAACAACTTTTTATCCTGGTCGGCCTTAGAATCAATAAACGGGCGCATCATGTCAATATACCTAGACAAACATAAAACTGGTACACGAGCTGGACCAACCTTTTTGACAAACGGACCAAAATGGCGCCAGTGGTGATGTACTACAAGCGGATGTTAAAATAACGAAACAAATCTGGTTTTATTATTTGTCGTGTTTAATAATTTTTATACGTTTTTGAAATTAGTGCCGAAGATATTATCATCTTGACGAATTCTGAACTGTCATGATGGAAGTAATGGTTCGAACAAATGAAATACACTTCTCTTAGTAATTCAGTGAATACATTCTCACTAAAGTTTTCTTGTAGTTCATTGAAAAGCTCCTTCTGCTGGTTATCGAACGATATGCACTATGACTGTCAACCAATCACGTGTTAGATATTGCCTACCTTTCATTCATCTATATGTACATCGCAATGTTGTATTATCAACTAATCCATGTCTTCCATAGCTGTTCAAACAGAGGAGACAGCTAATGAAATTAATGTCGATTCTTCTATCTGCAATGTTCTCTTCACCCAAATTTTGTCTATCCTAGATGACGAACAGAACAAATTCTATTATGATATATCAGAAAACTATCTTGATTTTCCTCATAAATTGACTACCAATAATGGTGATGGGAATAACACAAATGGAATATTTGAAGTCCATGAAACTTGTCTTGACGTGAGTGTTCAAAATCTTAGTTTTTTTATTAGCCTGTGTATTATTGCATTGTAATTTATGTGTTTGGACGACCGGTTTATTTTCAAGTCTACGAGCACTAGGTTTGGCAATTGGCTAGTCACTAAATTATAGGTTGCACGTTGATTTTAAGTTTATGCTACTTCTTGTATCAACACCCCTCAATAAGAGAAATGTTTAGCTCCAATGATTAGCTTAATATAAATCCAGCCATAACTTCATGTCAAAGTGTATCGGTTGTTTTTGTCATATGTGGTAAAATCTAAGTTCTAGCAATAGACACCTCGATACCTAAACCTCTGGTGGATCCTAGCGACTTTGTCAATTACAGGATTAAGTGGTTGATCCCACTTGTCATTTTCTATGAGTTCAGGAGTTTCGCCATGTAATTCTATTTTCAGTTAACAATGTATAAGTTACAGGATATCCGCATCAGTTTGAACTGTGTGACCTTTTATGTGACCTCACTTTCCGACTATATTTACTGATCTTTGCTAAGTACTGAATTCGATGGTTTTACTGGATAAATAAATGTTGTGGAAGTTAACAGTCAACCAGCCAGTAGTCAGTTCTGATCTCACAAATCCACCATTCCGATGTGGTGAATGTCCAAATGTAACTCACATTATCAACCAACGTGAAATCTGTAAATTGAGCTGCTTTGAACACTCCTATGTGATCAGATGAGTATATTCAAGTTAACACATCTAAAATCATTTGAAAGTTAGGTCATTTTTATAACAATGTTCTTGAAAGTTACTCTCTCTCCGTATATATGGTCAGCTCACTGAAAACAGTGATAATCTTATGGATGAATAATAACAGTAATTAATGTAGTGAATGGATAATTATCTTGGTAGCTAGACCCTCTAAATCTTACCCCAAGACTCTTAACGATTAGAGCACAAAAGTGTTATTATCCACAGGTTTCGAAGTCTTGACTGATAATGACTCTTTCGTCACTATGAGTTTGCAAGATGCAGATTCAACGATTTTTAAGCAAATATATTTTCCTGCTTTTATCAGGAGTGTGCCCAACTCAGTCAGCAGGACTGATTGATGTTTCCTAAATGTCGGAGCTTTCAGTAAAAACCGTCTAAACATTCTGTATCTTCCCGACTCTATCACTAACATAGGCTATCTTAATCTGTATATGAAAATGATAGTGTAACAGGACTAATAGTATTTACATACCAAAGAATCAGTAGAGGTCGTAAAACTGCATCTATTTCAGTATCCTGATTCTCTGCGTTTAAATATATTGTTTTCACTAACTTGAAATCATAAGACCGACTCACCTTTTAAAAACGTTGCTCTTCCAATTAGAAATAGTGCTCTATCACTTGTCCTTAACTCGTTACTCAATTCCTTGGGAGTCTGCTTTAGGGTATTACATCATGACTTGATCTCATGCACTCAAAGTAATACCATTTTGTTCCTGAAAGATTAGTCAATAACAGGAGAAAAACATAGCCTTGCAGAAGCACACTGTTATTTTGAAGGTATGCATATAGTTATTTCTTGATAGGACTGGATTAAATCCATTTCGCTCTAGAATCCGAATGACTTCAGCCTGCCAGTCAAGGGTAACTGTGTCTTGGCGACAATTACAGAGTAGCGGTAGCTACATTACACTACTCACTAAGAATCGCAACACTAGGCGTCTGCAACCTCTCCAAATCACTCCAATATCTAAATATGGCTGATTTGAGCCTCTTCGGGGTGTTAATCCTGCCTTCAACAGGACAAGGGCTGAACAGAATCTAGTACCTGTTGCAGCGCATCTGTAATGTACTACCGCTCTGTAACTTGTTTCCAGGAAACTGCTTAAGTTACGAAGTTTAACGCCTTACTGACTTGTGGGCAGCACCAACATACAGTGTACGAAAGTTCAAGTGGCTGCTTCCTGTTTCTTTTAAATTACTTCGAAACCAAGCGGTTGTCAGAAGCATTAAATCTGATTAGGATACTTATGGTTTTGTATTGTGACTGAGGATCGTAATCAAAATGATAATCATTGATAACACACTAAGCTTTTTATGCTCGCCAGTCGCAAACGGTTCACAGCTCTAAAAATCGACTGTGCTCACATTACGTTCTTATTTGCACACAGTTAACAGATAGGTATTGTACTTATCAACAGAATCTCGAAATCACATGTTTCAGCGCCCAGAGTGACGATCTTTGTAATTACAGGACACAATGAAAAGGCATAGTACACTAAACCAAGACTAGTCGTTCACACTCAAGTGTACTTTCCTTTTTGGTGCCACTCTCTGCTACTTTGTAAATGTTACTTAACAATAATGCTCGATGTGATATTTAATGTGATTCACTTGTCCTACTACGTGCATCATAAACAAAGAACTCTTATGAGACTAGAGAAAGGTCTCACCTCAGTGTGTACAAATGTTCTCATAACTTCCTAATCCTGGTTTCACACCATAATTATTTTGCAGTTCTGAGCGAGGTGTTTACCGACAACTTATCAATGTTTAAACTTTGTATTCAAGTGATCCCATTTTATACAAGCTTGCTAAAATCCCAACTCACTGACCGGTCAAACTGATTATATGATTTACTTTGTGCACTCTGGACCAGTTTTCGCGTCTACTCCCATATTCTAGCTATAATTTCCAGTGCGCGGATTCTCCAAATCGGGATACAAAACCAGTCTATATAAATTATTCGAAGTTAAAAAACACCACTGAAGCAAAAGAGATAATAGAAATAAAGATTGACTTAGGATTTCAGGAGCTGCTTTCGGCAGGGCAGATTGTAAAGTTCTGAAACTCTTGAGTTCCAGATTTGCGTTTTATACAACCCAATATTCTAGTTCGTTAGATACTGACGGAAGTAACAAAGGCACAGCAGTTAGGTGATAAAGTAAGTGATGACACAGTCATGTCAAAAATAATGATGTTCCTGCCAAGTAGAAAACTCAGCTCTATCTCTACGCATAAAACACTTTAATTCACTCCAAAGTGAATGACGAAAACTGTCAAGAACAACAACGGATGCTTTCAACAAAGGGGAAATGAACTTCCGTGACAAGGGGATCAATTAAATCAATTACTTCAGACGAAAACAATCGAAGGTTGGTAAGCCACTATGACAGCTGTTGTTATGTAATGTTAAATAAAACAATATTGGTGTCAATAAAAACGGCACATGTAAGGTAACACATCGTTAAATTCAGGAGGATATGGAAACATAAACGGTAAAAATATCGCTGTAAACTGGAAATGAGAGTGATGCACGTCAGTAAACAGTGTTAAGTAAGGCAGGTTATATAAGGGGATCCAGCGACACTAGGGCCGAAAACCAATGGTTTAAGGCACCTATTTACTTATCGTGGTCACTCCCTTACAACAGCTATGAATTGTATGCTTTGGTTTGTCACGCTGTTATCACGAAATTCAACCAAAAAATAAGGCTAATGATTTTGTGTTTCACAATGAAAAATGGATAAGTTGGAGGATGAAGTCATACAAGTTTTGATCAAATGAGTTTGGATGTGTGATTGAACATCCAGCTCTATGTTAGCCAATAATGAGGCTCACTAACAGAATTGATTTAATAGAGCAAGATAAAGCGATACTAACCCCATGTTATGATAAGCGTTATGCTTAGGAGAACCTATATACTGTGTCGAAGAAAGCAATGATCGGGGGAATGATCTCCTTGGTTGTACACGGAAGTGGATGAGTGCTAAACTAGATTGTTGGTCATCGACCATATGGGTGGAGAGTTTCATTTGCGTTATACTGAGGAATGACATCCGTGCCTAACTGAACTTCTCAGTCACTTAGGGTCATAAAATCAACCTGGGTTAAGATTAATGTCGAAGATACATTAAACTATTTGTTTTGAGGAATTTCATTACCGTGAAAGTCTCTCAGTAGGCTTTTTAAATTAAGTATAACAAACATTATGCAATGAAGCAAGACCTTTTTTCATGTGCTTTGCAATTTTAACACACACAGAGACTATTATAAGCTGAAAATCTGTTATATAGTTGTAATTTTATAGGTGCATAAAATCAACTACTTCACTAATCAAGGTAAAACTTAATGTTATTATAGCATCTTCATGAAATCTCAGTTTAGAAATGTTGTGACGGGCGGTGTCTAAAATCTGATAGGGATATATGGTGAGCTACACGCTAACTCCCAAATTGACCACTTGGACGAGAACACAAGAGTGAGCGAGAAAGTGCATTGAGCTGCTGAACAAAATGCACAAACACTCATTCATACATAAATGTGATAATCAAAAGTATTTGAATTGTAATATAAACTAGTAGTCCCAGGAATAACGCAATTTCATCAATCAGTATTGGATGAGCACGAACCAATGTACTGTATTATGAATTGAAAGTGAAAACAGTCATCAATACAAAGAAATGATTGATTCATTCAAACATCACATCCTCCACAGCTCAAATCGGAGTGCAAGAGTCTGTAATCGATTGTACGTCTTCTTCTGAAGTTCATCTTAAATCTGTTCGACAGTGTATTGGATATAGACTCTTTATTATCTAGAATGCGTTCATTAATATTAGAATTGACAACCGAAATTGGGACAGACTCACCTGATTTCTGGAATTGCATACAATCATCATGTCGGTCGTGTAGTGAAACCACTGATGTCTAGAATTTGCATCATAGAATTTCCAGCACTATCCTCCTCCACGAACTAATGTTGGATCCTTACGTCGCAACGTTATAACCAATTTGACGTTCTTAATTTGCATTATCTTACATCTCACACTTCGATTATTATATGTGAGTATTTGGGGATACACACTGACAAGTAATTTGAGGCATTCCATCATGTGACTCTGACTTGCATAAAAATTATGATACATTTTTTTGTTATTTATATTACAATACACAGATAGATATGCATTGATATGTGCAATTGACACATGTGATTCATCTAGGCTTGATTCACCTGAGAAACAATCGAATGGAAAACACGTATCTGCCTCATACTCATTAGGATAATCTTGGACTTTATTCGGATTCTCAGCATGTACAAACCCTATATCTGGGCAAACTGGTTCTCCGAATGCTTCGGGAAAACTTGCTATTCCTTCTGACTCATCATACCACTGACTAGGTACTCTACTCAACATACATTGTTCGTGAGAATATTCAACAACTGATACAATAACATCACAAATGTGACAAGAATTAGACTCATTCGGAACACATTTGTCACATTCATTAGGAATATTTCTAGAGATAGATCCATTGTGACGACGAATAACATTTGTTATGATATCAGAATTTGATTTTTCTGAAATATATCCCTCAAATTAGGAGTCTCATTAGAGAATAATGGATCATTAGAAGAATCAGCATCTACCAAAACTGAATCCAGTTTTTGATCATGATTCGACTCATTCAGCCATTTATGTTCTCAGGCTTGTAAGCAATTTCATCAGAAATATGTGACTGATTATGACAAACCGCATCTGGTACAATAACACGAGAAATGTGATAAGAAGTTGGTTGATCGGAAACTTTTGTCTCACAGTGATTCTAGGTTTCATTCAACTCTGAACTGCTATGTGACATTATACCACTTCTAGAAATCTTGGATAAAGATAAGTGATCATTAGGAACATCCACTCTAGCATTGCTTCCAGCGAAATGAACCATGGTGTTACAAACTGACTGAATGTACCCAGATTTACCACATTTAAAGCATTTAGAATTACGAAATACACCTGAATTACATGAGTGAAACTTGCCATAGAACAATCATTTACCAAACTTGTGCTCGTCTTTGTGAACTGTTTCACAACTCCCCAATGAATTGTTATCTGAATAACCTCGATTACTTATTGGACTGCGATGACGTAGTAAAGTTGTGGAATTCCTGATGTTCTGGCGAGTCATTTCATTGAATTTTTCACCTTTACCACATTCGAAATTTGTGTATTTGACATGGTCCAGCAGTAGTTGCTTAACAGCTGCATAAGGGAGTGAAATCGGTTTGTCTGGAAGTGCCAAAGTCTTTATTAAGCTGTATGCTTCTTTTCCGATGAACGTAAGGAAATGAGCCACAATATTAAAATTCTCATCGTCTTCCTTGGTCATAGCCCAAATTTCGAATCTCTCCACGTAATCCTCAAAAGCACTAAAATCTGAATGTGTATCCAACCGGTTCATCACAGGCTGCATCGCGACGCCAATGTGACGTTTAAGAGTATTTGAATTATAGTATAAACTAGTAATCCCAGAAACAACGCAATTTAATCAAGAAGTATTAGATCAACACGAAGGAATGTATTGTATTTGGAATTCGAAATCAAAACAGTCATCAATACAAAAGAATCATTGGTTCATTCAAACAATGATGTTGCGTACTTAAGCCGTGATCGATTTCGAACCGATTAATTCACTTTACAACAGTAAATAATTCAATCACAACTTATGCATTGGCCATATATTCGTTAAAATGATATATGTATAATTGTAGGCCCTGAAGATAAAGTTAATGAAAACCATTATATTCTCAAACATTATTTGCTTTAAGATTACGAAATATTTCTAAGTTACTAAACAAGCTATACAGAGTATGTTTATTAGAATATCGTGATTACAATTCAAAAATGTACACTCTTCTCCGAATTACCACACCGTTAAATCAAACCTTGGCTAGAAATAAGTTGCATGCCAACGAAATCGTTTCATATAAGTGGTGAATATCATTGTAATTTGTATTATCAACCAAAGGACCAATGAACATTAGTCTTTTCATTTTGTTTTAGGATGGGACAGCGGAGATCCAAGTAAATAATGGTAACATAGAAGAAATGACTATCGCTGAGTTAGAAAGATCTCTTCAAATATCTGAATCTCGTCTAAGAACTAACTTGAATGAGTTGAATAAAATTACATCAGCATTATCATCAGTTTCACATTCGTCAGCATCATCTACAGAACACATTAAAGAATGGTTGAATTCTACTGGCGGTCATCATAACAATTCATCTTTTAATAGTCCAGGAGTTGAACTAGGAGATAATGAAAATAGAAATAATTCAGTCAATGACTTTGAAATGGATGGGATTTGATTATAAAGGTCTACAAGATAAATATTCAGTGCTCAATACACAGATTCTCATGAAGCATTTTTCAGATCACTTAAGTGTTTTTGGTCATATTGAACTCTTTTTCAACGTTTACAATATTGATCAGGATGACAAAAATATTTTACTAATATTTTATCATACTACTACAACTATTTGTCTGAAAACAGATAAACAATTATCATGTTTTAAATAACTAATATTTCAGAATCACCATATGTATTCTGAATCTCTCCTAATTCATTTGTTCTACATTATTGTATAATAATTTCTATCCTTGAAATGAACTATGGAACATTCATTGATCTCATTTAAATCACAAATTGACAGTCATAAAACTTTATTTAACAAGATTCACTGCAGTGCTTTATAAGACAATATATTATATTGGTTTATTTTGCATGCTATATACATGTGCGGAAAGTGACTAACTTTAGTGTGGCCATAAACCTAAGTCCTATAATCTTCTATCTATTTGCTTCTGTCATAAAAATTAATTTGACGAAACATTTTCATCTTGAAAAAATTACTTTTAACCCAATTACGGTTCCAGTGTATTGAATTCACTCATTATCCTCATATTATATTAGTGTTTGCTTAAAAAGTCTTCTGTAGCCACTCTACCAGTTTGTCATTTATTTGTTGATATGATCAAACATGTACAATGAAATAAAGATCCATGCAGATTTCAAGAAAACAATTACTATTAAGATTATTTGAAGATGGCTGTATAATGTAGAGTTAAATATCGAGACAACTGGATTCTCGGAAACAGAATTCCATCATTTAATTTGTTCTCATTTATACCGTATTATGGATACATTTCATATAGGATACATTCACTAGCGAAGTCAATCAACGGTAACACTTCTAGCCTTGTCTTCCAGAGGGTTTTAAAGAGTAGTATTCAACCTATAGGTGAGAGTTGTTGTCGCTAGATTATTTAAACTTCACCTGATCACACAAGACTGAATGTCTTCTAATAAAACACACTAAATTGGTTAGCACCCTACCCATTAATGTGCATATTAAATAAGTGACTGTGTTTAAGTAGTGAAATAAGAAGCCAATTATTATCTCTATGTTCTCGATTTATGTCATGAAAGATTTGGGATCCCAATGATAGGCTATCCTACTTACTCGGGAGAAAGTGCGGAGTACATTTGACAAAACTGGCTTTTATTGTCATGAAATCATCGTTTGGTCAATTAAAACAATAAAGTAAGTACTGATGATGGAAAAGTCCTTAATTAGATTAAATTATCAAAGAGAGATTTTTACGAAGTAAACCTAGATTCGACAAATTTACTCTCATGTTTTTAGCATAAAATATAGTTCTATTTATATGATAAAAAGGACTTCAAACTCATTTTGTCGATGTCTAGATCAAGTTATCAGACGAGTTTAAGTCTTGGATAATAAACTTTTTAATTCCAGACTAAACACTGTCATTTAAAAACGGTTCTAACTGAATCATATATTTAGTCTACAGTAAACAGTTAACGACCGAAATCCTAAGATTATAAAATAAATACTCACTCTCTTCGAACTTATTATTTCAGCAACAAAACTAAGTCTATTTTTACATAGATTTTAAAAGGGCATTGGAGTTTTGTTTAAATCTGTCCAACATTAAATAGAAAACTACGGAAATATTTAAGAACTAGTTTTCTGCCACTAAGATTGATTAAGACTTCGTGTTGGAATATATACTCATGAGATGAAAGTAGCTGGTTTTACGCGGCCCCTCGATTTTGGCGCTGAATAGTAAATGAGGATGTGTGACTTACGATTTATAAGCTCGATATTTCCAAGTCTGTCTTCAGTACGCTTAATTAACACCTTCTATTCTACTCACTTCACCCCTCCTACTAGCCTTCACGATAGACACCAGAAAAGTATTGGTTTGTTATGTAATAAAGCAATACTTATATTAAAAATATTAATACAGAATAAATATGATAAAATGTTATAAGCAATTGGGGCAAATCGCTTTGTAGATTGCCCACTTTCCAATCAATTAAGGTCTGACTGTTAGGCCTAGTTCTTGTCCATCATATCAAAGATAAATGATAAATCATTGGTTCTGAATTTTTTTTACCACCTCTCAAGTTACTTTATTTACACTCCGACTTGTTAATCTTCCTTAGGCCACTATTCTCAATAACTAGAAATGATTAACAATCACTCTTTTCCTTAAAACTTGTTTATATCATGAAAGCCTCGTTATCAGTATTTCACTATATACTCATTCATGATTTTTTATGTTTCAAAAACTACGATATTTCAAGCAGTTTCTATCTCCTGTACGATAAAATTATGCGAATTTCATCTTCGATTCAATTTAGAACAAAAACACAAGTAATCTGAAATCAATGATACCCAGTCCATTGTTTACAAAGATTAAAACAAAGGATAATGATAACCAGACACATGTAGTATGATAAAAAAACTATTATTTTTGTTTTATTGAAATCATAAACCGACCAGTGTTAGACCACTTTTAAAAACCTGGAAGCACTGGGTTTCAGTGGAGCTAGGAGATTTTCACAATCTTATACTGACAATTATTTTCGTATTGGCCAAATGCATTAATTATTTCAACCGTCCAACTCTACATTCATAGAGATTATGAACGGATTCAAACATGCTTATACATAAGATTTCTTATTTCAATCTTGTCAGCATCTACTTACTAGTCTTATAAAATATTAGTAACCTTAAAAAAATTCAGGAAATAAATGTGTGGATTCAAGTGTAAACTATTTCTTTACAACTGAAGTCTTTTTTTAAATACAAACGCCATAAACTACTGATTATTAATAAGCAGTATGTTTACGTATGCATCAAATATGGATGACAACCAAACGGTAGAACTTATGCAATCATGAATTTCATCGAGTTCCTGTTTTACAGATGTGAGTACTTGATTCGTGGCCTTATAGGTCAGCTAAATCAGCTGTTGACAGTCCTAACTACTACCATTACTACCACTGGTATCAGGATTACATACTTATTTCATAACTAGTAAGAAGTAATTTAGTTAATAATATCAACTGAATATTTTAAAATTTCTGTGTGGAATATCGGAGTATCAGACTAAATGATAAGTGGTGGAATGAAACATCACTATTGTTGGCACATAAAAAGATAAAATGGAAAATATCATGTCTACTTGCTGTTCTTCTGTTAAGAGTTTACTGATTATGCCGGAATTTAAGAAAAGGAGAAAGATTTACTAATTTGTAGATTATGTTTGTGAATTGTTATCATTTCCTCAAATTCCAACATCAATTAACTGGATGAAATGCGTCTACAACTCTATTTTTTAATCAATTGTTATAACTTCCTGTTTATTGATTGAATCCAATTATTAACCTGAAAAAAATGTTTGAAATATCTTACAATCTGTTTTGTTTAGATAGTAAAGTTATTAATTTGTACATGTTTGTTTACATTCATACCCTCACAGTATTTACTTCAGGATTTTTAAAGTTTCCAAATATCATAGTCGATAAAAGCCAGCTTAAAATATTTATGGATAATTTTCAGATTTATGATGTAGTTGGTGAATAGTGTTAACAACTCATGGTAATTTGTGAAGTTTTGGTAAATTTGTCAGTTTATTTTATGTGAAGTTAAAAATGTGGACTATTAAATTCTGAATCAGTCGATCAACCATTATTTCCTGGAAGGGAGACAGGATTTGAGATCAACCACATACGCATTCATGTGTACGCAGAGTAATTTTTGAACAAGAACAGAAAAGTTGTCCAGTATTCTTTGGTTTTTCATAGCTCTACAGCTCATGTTATTTAATTACTGATAGTTCCTTCAAATACGGAATACAATGAACATCTCAGAATCAATTAGACGACTTGGACTTCGCAGATAACCTAGCCCTCCTATTTCATACACCCTAATAAATGCAGATGAAGACAAAAAATGTAGCAGCAGCTTCCGCATCAGTAGACCTTAATATACACAAGACAAAAAGCAAGATCCTCAAATGCAACATGGAGAACCCAGTCACACTTGACGGAGAAACTGTGGAAGATGTGGAAACATTCACGTCCCTGGGAAGCATCATTGATGAACAAGCAGAAGCTGTTCTAGTTCGTCCAGAAAAAGACGAATTTATCCAATAACATTATTTCGACCATGTAGCTGCAAAATTTGAAATCTGTAGTAGAAGCATTTCCACTACATCCCGA